TGCAGGTACTGTATATATTCTATGTCCAGCTGATAGGTGAGTCATAAAAAGATTAGTATTTTGAAACCAGGTTAAAACATCAGAGCATTGATTTGAAATTGTCAATTGATTCTGGCAAAAAGTTGTACCAATTTATAAGCGGGTCAATAGCAAATCCCTCCAAAATAACCTCAAAAAATACAATTGACTTATAGGTGGACCACCTTATAGGCAAGGATATATACGGTATAGTTTTTGTTGAATTTTGCTAACAGCAAAACACTATGAATAATGAATTTTGGAAAAAAAAGATTATTAAGTTTAATGATGCATGTATGTAGTATAGAAATATTGTTCATATGCCTGTACATGGTACAAATATGCATTTTACAGAGTGTACATATGCCAGAATCATATGGACCGCAGACTGGCCCTGGTGATTCCGTTAAAAAAAAAGAGGAAAAATCAGTGCTTGTGCTCATTGGTCATTGCACAAAGGTAGCTAGATTTATTTCATGAAACTAAACATGTAAATTACTAGGATATTAAAATATCACAATTAAAATACATGTACTGATTTATATATATATATGGATATCAGTTGGTCTCCTTGATGGAGTTAAATGCATTTGTTATCCCTTTTAAGTGGATCATTTAAATATTATGCAGTTTATTTAGAAGCTCTTTATTATCTGCACTGTTCACTTTTACAGGGTGAATGCCAGAATTTTTTCAAGAACAGTCTGAATCTGACATGGAAAAATGAAGAAAAACAGCCTTCCTGTTTATAAATCTACATTCTGACAAAGGGTAATTTTGTTTAGTTCAATTAGAAGTGCACATTTAATTTCAGTTGCTTTCCTTAATGATATATCATAGCATTTTTATTCCCTTATGAACAATATGTATACTTGTAAAGCATGTATCACAAAATCTTCTGCAAACAAAGTTTTGGGTGTAGAATGTTTGTTGTTTAACGTCCCTCTTGAGAATTTTTCACTCATATGGAGACGCCACCACTTGTCAGTGGAGAGCTGCAAATTTTTGTCCTGTACTCAGCACTTACGGCCATTGAGCATTGAGGGATCTTTATCGAGCCAGCACCTACTGTGACATGGGACCTCGGTTAATACCTCTGTCTCATCTGAAGAACGGGTCTCCACGTCCCACAGTGGGATTCAAACTCGCGATGTAAGGATCAGCTTCTTTCTCCGCAACTCTAGAGTAGACGCTCTAACCACTGCATCTGCTCTACTTTGGCAACTTTGGGAGTATATAAGCATAGGAATCATCATGTCCATCTGTCTGTTCATGTGTTTGGCCACTTTTATGATTAGTTTTTTTGTTCCAATTCTGGCTGAGATAAATTGATTTAAGTCATCTAAATACAAACAAATTAAGGGAAATTACTATGGTATTGGAATGAACTTTTTGGAATACTGTCTAATTGTTCCATTGTAGTTGGTTTCTTTAATGTTGAAGTAATGCATCTGGTCTTCCTAATGCATGACATACACTGTATGCATGTGTAATGTTAAAGTTGGCTGAATGTAAAACAGTTCTTGCGTTATGACAAAGGTAAATAGATTTAGTTCATGTAACTAAACATGTAAATTATTAGGGTATTAAAATCTCAAGTTTTGAATACTGATTTACATGTGGAGAGTAGTTGGTCTCCTTAATGCAGTAATAATACATTTGGTCTCCCTTATGCATACTGTATATTATATAAAGGGGGAGTTTCGATAAGGTCGCTCAGCGGCCCACTTTTTTTCATAAAAATAAATTTCAATTTATTTTTTCAAAACTAGTTTAGAATTCAAGAAAAATATATTAACTTTTGTTATTTACATTTTAGAGGTTAATATGAGATGAATTCACAACGTAGCTGATACATACTTAGATGTACCCTCAGATCCGTTAACATTAGGCTTATGGGAAAATATAAGAGGGTGGCATTTAAAAATCGATGTTTAGAATATGAAGTGCATGAGGGACACTCACCTATTTTTTTTCAGTAATTAGATATACTCTGCACACTAATTTCTTGAAATATGATGAGTGTCGCGTGTGCACTTCATATCCAAAAAAATAAAAATTGCATAAAATTTGCATATCTAAAATTAGAAGCTCCTGGTTTCTTGATCTGACTCTGTGTTAAAATACTAGGCCAAAAGTAGCATTTTTTTTTAAATCAAAGAAGATTCTCGATTATATTAACAGTAGTAAACATTATCGTATCCTATCTTCATTTCGACAGTTTTTTTTGTCGCCAACGTATAACGTTAATGTCACATTTTTAGCTCACCTCCTTGAAGTTTGGGGAGCTTTCGTAATACCGTCGGCATCGGTGTTTCAGGTAAAAGTTTTTGAAGCAGATTTTTTTTTTCAAGTATATCTATGCCCTATATTAATCAGAGTCACATGATCCAGCGTGTTTCCTTGTCACCAGTCAGGTTTCAGATGCTGGATTTTTAGTCAAAGAATGTCCAAGTAAATGTTTTAAAAGCAGGTTTAAGTTTTTGGAGCAGAGCAGCTGAAAGCACTTGTTGACCAGACTTGCTTTATGATGCACACTACTATATTGCTTCAGATGCTGGATATGACCTACATTTCATTAATAAGTGAGCAGGTTAAAGATTTTGAAGCTGGTCTCATTTTTATATAACTATAAGCCCCATCGTGACCAAACTTGCATTGATGATGCATCTAGGATTGCACATTACCAGACATGGTTCAGATGCTGCATCTTTCTTACATTTTCCTACTGACTGAACAAAAAATAAGTTTTGGAGCAAGTCCATTCCTTAACGTTATTCATCATGCATAGTTATATTTTTGACTTTCTTGTAAATAGAAATCCACGCTCCGACATGCTAGAGAGGCGCCCATGTATTTATGTGTGGTTGATATAGGAAACGTGGCTTGTTTTAAGTCTGGATGTCTACCCATATCGAAAATGAATACAAAAATAATACAAGAAAAAAATACTAAAATAATACAAAAAAAGTATATTTTTAATGACCAAATTTGGAACCCTCTAAATCTTGGTTCCAATTTAGGTAAAAAAAAATAGACTTTTTAAAAGCCAAACACAGAAAAATATATTTTTAATATACTTTATTTTTTCGAAATAATACAGAAATGATACACATGACCTGTAAAAACGTATTGTTTTTGTACTTTTGTATTATTTCTCTATTTTCTTCTCCAAAGTATAAAAATAATACAGTCCATAGAAAAGTATAGAAAAAATACAGAATGTATTAATTTTGTATTAGCATATATTATTTTTGTATTTTTTCACCTTTAAGAATTAAAATACAAAAAAAATATAGAATATATTAATTTTGTATCACATATATTATTTTTGTATTTTTTCATCTGGAACAATTAAAAATACAAAAAAGATATAAAATATGAAAATAATACAGTACACGAAAAAGTATGAAAAAAATATAGAATGTATTAATTTTGTATTAATATGTATTGTTTTTGTATTTTTATCAGCATGAAGGATTGTATTTCAAAAATATCAAAAAAGTACAAGAATGATAGACAAAAAATACATTTAAATGCTTAAAATAATACAAAACAGAGTTTTAAAAACTACTAAAATGATCATGGGCAAAAATTGTTATTTGAAGAAAAGGGGTTGGAGATTGAGGTTCTTAATAGCATCTACTGATTGTTATTCAAAAATCTTTTATTTATTTGAAATATTTGTTAAATAACAATTTTAGTAACTCAGTCAGATTACCTTAAATGTACAAATAGCTAATTAAAAAGTAATTAATGTGGCTAGGCTACTGATTCAGCTACCAATTGTAGTCTTGATCTTTCTTTTTACATATAATCTGCTCTTCAATAGTCTTGATATTTTTCACAAGTTTAACTAATCCTGTTTTCTTTGTACTTTTACCAAATGTTTCGATCTCTCTGCTTTGCTGTTTCTTTTGTATGGAAAAGGTAGAGGAGTGTTTACTTTGTTGCAGAAGTCCATCTTCAAATCACACAACCTGTCATCTCATCTGACTTCATCACTGTGAAATATAGAACAGAATGATAAAATAATAAAATTTAATGAACCATTACCTCAACAAAACACACATTTTAACATTCAAAATAATTCTATATAGATTTTGTTTAGTTCACACACCTGCAATACTTTCTTGAGAGGGATCTTCTTCCTCCATGACTTGTCAGCTTTTCTTCAATGTTCGGCTGACTGAAATTAACAATAATTATAAATTGAAATTCCAAAAGATCCAGTTGAGTTCACCAAATTCCATACAATTGTACCATTGAAATTACTTTTCTTTAATCTGGGGTTTCCCATATCGAAAATGAATACAAAAATAATACAAGAAAAAAATACTAAAATAATACAAAAAAAGTATATTTTTAATGACCAAATTTGGAACCCTCTAAATCTTGGTTCCAATTTAGGTCAAAAATAATAGACTTTTTAAAAGCCAAACACAGAAAAATATATTTTTAATATACTTTATTTTTTCGAAATAATACAGAAATGATACACATGACCTGTAAAAACGTATTGTTTTTGTACTTTTGTATTATTTCTCTATTTTCTTCTCCAAAGTATAAAAATAATACAGTCCATAGAAAAGTATAGAAAAAATACAGAATGTATTAATTTTGTATTAGCATATATTATTTTTGTATTTTTTCACCTTTAAGAATTAAAATACAAAAAAAATATAGAATATATTAATTTTGTATCACATATATTATTTTTGTATTTTTTCATCTGGAACAATTAAAAATACAAAAAAGATATAAAATATGAAAATAATACAGTACACGAAAAAGTATGAAAAAAATATAGAATGTATTAATTTTGTATTAATATGTATTGTTTTTGTATTTTTATCAGCATGAAGGATTGTATTTCAAAAATATCAAAAAAGTACAAGAATGATAGACAAAAAATACATTTAAATGCTTAAAATAATACAAAACAGAGTTTTAAAAACTACTAAAATGATCATGGGCAAAAATTGTTATTTGAAGAAAAGGGGTTGGAGATTGAGGTTCTTAATAGCATCTACTGATTGTTATTCAAAAATCTTTTATTTATTTGAAATATTTGTTAAATAACAATTTTAGTAACTCAGTCAGATTACCTTAAATGTACAAATAGCTAATTAAAAAGTAATTAATGTGGCTAGGCTACTGATTCAGCTACCAATTGTAGTCTTGATCTTTCTTTTTACATATAATCTGCTCTTCAATAGTCTTGATATTTTTCACAAGTTTAACTAATCCTGTTTTCTTTGTACTTTTACCAAATGTTTCGATCTCTCTGCTTTGCTGTTTCTTTTGTATGGAAAAGGTAGAGGAGTGTTTACTTTGTTGCAGAAGTCCATCTTCAAATCACACAACCTGTCATCTCATCTGACTTCATCACTGTGAAATATAGAACAGAATGATAAAATAATAAAATTTAATGAACCATTACCTCAACAAAACACACATTTTAACATTCAAAATAATTCTATATAGATTTTGTTTAGTTCACACACCTGCAATACTTTCTTGAGAGGGATCTTCTTCCTCCATGACTTGTCAGCTTTTCTTCAATGTTCGGCTGACTGAAATTAACAATAATTATAAATTGAAATTCCAAAAGATCCAGCGGAGTTCACCAAATTCCATACAATTGTACCATTGAAATTACTTTTCTTTAATCTGGGGTTTCTTAGGGGACAACCGTTTGATTTGACAATCTGGAGAAGAAAAGGGGGGGCTGATTTATAAAATATTTTTAAAAAAATATTTGTAATAAACAATCTGTCCTTGAAAATGTTGAAAGAGTAAACAAAATGTGTGCCCCAATGTTATTTAAATAAACTGCCCCCCCCCCCCGAAAAAATTTGAGTTTATACAAATTACTGTTTACAGAATAGTTTTTGAAGGGAAAATAAATAATTCGTCTCTGGTAAACTTGAAAAAATTGGAATGAATTAGAACTAGGAAGCCAAAGGCTTGAAAATTACCCCCATCTTCCACCCCTCCCTCCCCAATCAGAATTTATCACAAAAACCCTTGTTCCCCACATGGCCAATAACCGTACTATTTTATCTTTCTACAATACTACAAAATGGGTAAAAAAGTCAGTCTTTGTTCCTCTATCTTTGTACTAAGTTATTATTTAAAAAACTGAAACTTTAATGTGCTAAAATATACATAATCTTACCGCAACTGTCGTTGTTTACACCAGAAAAGTCCGGATATGATGCCTTAAAAACGTCAGTCTCCTTATGTATTTGCTTTCCTTGGTTCATATATATGATCCTGTGTACCATGATTATGCTGAACTTCTGTTTTTCGATCCATTTTACTCGCGAGCAAATGAGAGTTTATTCAAAATCACCTCCAGCTTTCTCAACACGTCCCGGGAAGAATTTTCAAAATGGAGTGGGTGAAATATTGTTGACCAATCAGAGAACAGCACGGAAGAGTTTTAAAATCTGACCAATCATATTGTGTCATATATACGAAAATTACCGATGTTGAGATCGGAACAGTTAGAGAAAACATATTTACATGGTTTTAAATATCTTGAATCAATTGAACAAACCTAAAATTATGTTAGAAAAAACGATGTTCAATTTAATCATCAGAATCATTTTTTATTCCTTACGGAATTTACCGATTACGAAACATCGTTATTTCCGGTCATTATTTCCGCTGAGAGCAGCCATTTTTATATTCAAGTTGACCTGTGAAGTAGACCATAAAGTTCAAATATAATGATCAAAACGAGCGGGAGATACATAATATATAGCCTTTTTGACGGACAACTTAACTCATACATACGGTACCAGAGATTGAAATAATGTTTAACAACTATCCTTTACACCAATTTCACAACATTTTCTATATTATTTTATGAAATTCTTTCGTAATAATTTCTTTTTTTAAAAGCGGATAATTAAATAGTTCTATTCCATGTAATTGTAATACGTAATGAATTAAATATAATGTATACTAAATTGAGTTGTATAGTCAAGAAAACATCGTAGGTACTGTAATTAGTGGAACTCTCCATGTTGTTTGTTTTTGTTTTGGTTGGGATGTGTTTTCACGGGTAAATCATGTTATTTCTTTGAGTAGTATAACATGTACTCGTCTATTGTTAGCCTGCAGGTGGCCACCTGTGCTGTTGGCGATAGTTGTAAACACTCGGTTGTAAACACGCTGTAAATTTTTCAACACAAAAAGAAAGTCTGAAACTCTGAAACTTCAAAATTTACCGCGTGTTTACAAGTATCATGTACAGCACAGGTGTCCCCTCAGACGTATCTATCTCTTTCCAAATGACAATTTCACACCTAGTAAAGACATGTTTTAAAAATGAAATTGTTTAGTTAACAAATTTAAACTACTGAAGTTTTCTGTTCTAAATAGCAATTAAAAATGTAAATAGTATAAAAGCAACCTTTATAAATATTAATTCCAACAGACTTATTGCAAGGACATTCTGTAAATTTTCCTAAGTTCAAAGAAATACAAATTTCAGTAAAAGAAAACACTAAGTCCAAAATAAATATAAAAAAAATACATACTGACTGTATAGTATTTTTTGAAAAATTATTAAGTCCAAATTTAATACAAAAATAATACAAACTAACTGTATGTAATTTTCTGTAAAATTACTAAGTTCAATTTTAATACAAAAATAATACAGATTAACTGTATGTAATTTTCTGTAAAATTACTAAGTTCAATTTTAATACAGAAAAAATACACTTGAAAAAAACTAAGTCCACAAAAATACAAAAATGATATACTGAAAATAATCTAAGTCCCAAAAAATACAAAAATAATACCCTGTAAAAAATCAAAGTCAGATTTTAATACAAAAATAATCTACCTATTTGTTGGTGATACAAAAATAATATATTTTTTCTGTATTAATTTTAAACAATACGAAAATGATTGTATTAAAAATATATTAAAAATATACTTTAATGTATTATTTTTTGATATGGGTAGGGGCATATGTCTGCTTGATTACGGATTAAACACATATCTTTGGCGTTTTCACATGTATTTCGAACTGCGCTCTGTTCTAGCAAATCATATATAATGAATTCTAGAACTCTCTAAATGAGAAGTGACTAGAAATGGTGTAAAAACTTAAGTATCTCTGGAGATTTGAGAAGCGAGAGGAAATAAGTCCTGGCTGGGATTCTCTCAGTTACGCTGAAAACATAATGCAGATCTATGTGGGCAAATACTTATAAGTTTCATAATGAGAAGGAAAATTTAATGCATTATAGATTTTTCCATCATATTACGTATCATGATAAAATACTTTTGACTGTAATCAATATCATTCATATTATCAAATACATTGCAATATACAGAAGCCAGTAGGTGCAAGGTAAAAAAATATGTTATCTGTCAGCCGCCAGATAAGTTTCTGCCATTGAAATATCTGGCGGCCGCCAGATAAAATTGTAGTGTTTTTGCCAATCAAATTGTAGCACCCAATGATATACCTCAATGCACTTGATTGACAGAGGTACACAGACCAGGTATTTTCGAAGGCGGTGCTTAAAATCTCTGCCTTTAAGGAGGCTGGGGGGTCAACAAATTAACCATCAGATATAACTTAATTTTTTAGATATGATATCTTAAGCTGTCAACTATTATTTGGCAAAGAAAAATTTCATTCATTTTTGTTTTAAAATTTGATCATTTTTGTATATCTTTATATGGAGCTCTTCTTCTGAAGGAGATCAATATAGTCTGAAAATGGCCACAACCCCCCAGCCATCTTAACGACATCTACAACTTCTCTTTGAAGTCAAATCTTGGAGTTTCATGCCTTATTAGCAAAGATAAAATCTACACTTCATACAAAAATTCACTTCATAAGGTTTTCACCTCATAACTTTAGATTTATGTTTTATTAGATTACATGTCTACACCGCAAGGAACTTATTTGTTGGGTTCTAGTTATTTATGTTGCGGCCAACAGATAAGTTTCTGGTCGCTGCCAGTCATTTATGTGGTGGCCGCAGGAAAACTATTTGGCCACCGCCAATTTTTCTAGCGGCCGCCGAATAATTATGTGGCGAACGCCAGATAAAATATTTTTCTTACCTTGCACCTACAATGTACTGGCTTACCTAGCAATATGATGCTTTTAAGTAAACTTTTTATTCATGTATGTATTTAAAATATTTTTTAATCTTTTTATTTCAAGACATGTTATTTAATTTCAATTTTATGATACTAAGGTATATTTTTATAAAACATGTAGTTGTATAACCTTATTGATGAAAATGTAGTGCATATACCTGTATATGACGTTTTTAAATTCACCTATCTCATGTCTACATATCTTTTCATTTGCATTTTTCGTATGGGAAAATGTTAAATATTGATTATATAGTTTATGTATAAATTGTCGATTAATTATGATGTTAAATCTTTCTATATATTTTACGTTTCATAAGGAGAAAAAGTAAACATTAAAGAAAAGTAACATTTGACACACCAGAAAAATATCGCACCTTAAAAAAACATTCGCATAAGATAAACACCATTTTCCGTAAAAAAATTGTTGAGATTGGTTAATTTATGTCTTTATTCATATTTATCCTATTTCATTTACGATTTTGACGGTTAAAAAATCCACTTTCCCCCTATGAAAATGTCTACTCCCAAAATATACGAAATGGGGGTATACTTAAATTTTCAATTATCACGTGACCGGAAAATGCGTAACATAAATTATTTTCATATTTTTAGGAAGCTTAGAAGTTTTTCTACAAAATATCAAAATTTCATAAAATTTCGTGAGGGGCCGAAAAACGGCCTTATCGAAACTCCCCCTTTAATGACTGACATGTACGAGGGTTGATCCAAAAGTTCATGGAATTTCTTCATATTTTATTTATTTATTAGTGAAAGTGGTTGAATACTGATTTACATGTGGATAGTAGTTGGTCTCCTTAATGCAGTAATAATACATTTGGTCTCCCTTATGCATACTGTATATTATATAAATTTAATGACTGACATGTACGAGGGTTGATCCAAAAGTTCGTGGAATTTCTTCTAGTGTTGTACCGATAATCAGAAAACATCGATTGTCGACAAAAAAATGCTACTGATTCCGATGATCGATTATAGTTTTTCATAATCGATCATCGGAAACATACTTCTAATACAATACATTCCGGAATTATCCATTTCTGGTTTAAAATTTATTTCTTCTTAATGAAAGAAAATGGCATCTGCATCTGATACTAGCCAACTAGCACGAAGCAGAGGTGATTAAGAACCGAAGAGAGTTTTACTGATTTAACTTGATATTTAGATTATTAGTTGATGATTTCTTGTTCATCTTTTAATTGTTAGAGAACGTCACATTTCAGTCAAGTTATAAGTTTTGTTAAAATCTTAGGAACACTCTGACTTAAAGGGGTATACTACTGATACAGGCTGGAGAAAAATGCATTTAGCAACTGATTTTCCAGTGGCGTGAGAAATTTAAGAACAATAGAACTTCCATGGAGGTTGATTAAAGGTGTGGCTGCTTTTGGAGGGTCTGTTTTTCTCGTAGACAAATTAAGCGTTGATGGATGTTGACCACTGACGTACTGTGCTTGACTTTGCTACTGAAATTGGAACATCATATGGAAAGATGGGGAGTATTTTTGAAATATGAGTGTAATATAAAGATAAGTCGATTGGTGGATACCCAGGCTTTTCTTGAGAGAAAAAAAGAGAAAAAGGCAGAATATTCTGTAGAATTACTTAGTTGAATTGAACATGAGGGTGAGATGCTCCTATAACATGACATGACATACTTAACTTGACGTTACGTCGAAGTCTCCCCCGGATTTTACAACTATCAGTGTTCAGAAAGCTCATGTGACCTTATTGGTAATTGGAACGTGGTGAAATTTTCCAGTATTGTTGCATAAGGACTCTATATTATAAATATGCCTATTGTTTGCTTTCATCAAATCACAATAAAATTTTAGAAATAATTAAATCCCATGAACTTTTGGATCAACCCTCGTATTAGAAAAAAGATGGATCTAAGATTGAACAGGTTATAATTCACCTGAGTCATTTAAATTACTTATTGCTATCTGTTCTTGTTCAGTCATCATGTGTCAAGTATTGTCTGTAAACTATTGAACATTTTCAGCTTCTTTTCTGGAACCAGTTTCAACTAATTTCTCGGTTGAAGTACTGTATAGGGGATTA